TATTTAACATTCGGCGAACAACAAAGATGATGAAATGAAAGATTCTGAGAGCCAGCATTAAATGGGACGCAGTCTATTTGACGCATCGATTTTATATCATTCTCTAAATATTCTTATGATTCATCGATCAAAAATATGACAAAATAAAAATCTAACAAAACGTACGTAATTCCTGTACGTAAAATAGATCCGATGAAAGAATCGATGAAATGATTCTTTTTGCATGGTAAAGTTTTTGTTATCATAATTCTAAATTAAAGTTATCGATATATTTAAACTAAAAATAATGTCAAAAAGAACATTTCAGTTATTTAAACTATAAGAAATATTACTTTATACTAATGTTATTTTTAAAATTAAAAAATTTGCTACACACTCATGTTTCAGCTTATTGCTATGCTATTACAATTTATACAAGTTTAAAAATCTTATTTTTTAAAGTCGTACATACATATAAGTTTAATATTATTTCTATAGAATTTCTATAGAAATTATCTTTTCTACCAACATTATTATAAAGAGAAAGAAGCAGAGACAGAGAGAGAGAGAGAGAGAGAGAGAGAACGAGCCGAATAAATCCCATTAATAAAAATTGTCTTGAAAAACTTTAAACCATGATGATATCGAGAAATCACGTAAATTGTATCTCGAAGATTAAAATCCCTATAACTCAACCTCGTTTCATCTTTTCCATACATTTTCGGTAAAACGCAAGAGCCAAAATTAATACACGAGCTTCGCAACAAGATTATCGATGGTCGAGATTCAATTTTGTACTCACTGTGGTAAAGATTACAACATCGAATGTATTGGAGTGTCATAAATTTAATACAATCATCGGTGATTGGGAATTGAGAATTTTTCGCAGGAAACAGGACGCGAGGCCGAAACGAAGGTTGGGGATAGAATCGGAAATTGCGAAGCAAGCTAAACGAAAATAACCGGGGCCGATATGCAGGTCATTGTTTACGTCACTAGACTCCCGCAATCTTTATTCTGCGCTTTTCACGATGGTCCTTCTTCATCATTTGCACACAGATCGACTCGGATGAAAACAGCATGCTCTGACCTTTCATCCGCGAACACGATTATGTGGCAACTGTGTTGCCCAGAATGCAATTTTTAGGCTACCTGCTTCATCTTTTTTCGAGCGATCAAAGAAATATCGATTAGATTAGTTTGCTTCTCCTTACTGGGGAGGAGGAGGGGGGGGGGACGGATTGTACAACTTAGAATAACACGATAGTCGCAAAGAACGATAATCAGTCCTGTTGCATGTAATATTCGAGTCTCTTTGGATGACACGGACAACAAGAATAAAATAAACGATAAGAGCCATGATAAATACAAATTACAGGGGAAGAGGAAGTATATTTGATATATGAAAATATATTTTTTTCACACGTAAGAATCTTTGAAATTTTTTTCCTAATAATATCAATCAGTATCAATCGATAAGTATAAGAGAATATTAGTAAGTAGTTTAAAAAAAACAAATGCATTTGCTAATAAATAACTCAATAATCAGCATAGAATATTAAAATATATAAAGAATATTAAAATATCGTAGCAGAATTAACATTATAAAATTTTAAAACTTTGTTCATAGTAGTAGTGTCATATATTAATTTCTCTATAGAATATGTCCTCTCCAATTAATCCATCAATGTTCAACGACGTTCCATAGAAACTTTGTAATAGATTCGTCTTAGCTGAGATTACGCCTCTCCTTATTCTAATAGGGCCCCAGAGAAACAGTCAAACGATTATACTACTAACACAATACTATATTGTACCAATCTCATTGAAGAACGAGATTTGCATTCTTTCATTCCAGATGAGATGCACGACTCGACAAACGCACACGTATGTTATATTTATATTAAATAATTAATATGAAATAATATGAAATGATAAGAAATTAAAAAAAAAGAGAAAAAAACTGTGTGATTTAGATATTAAAAAGAAGACCACCGTCCGTTTTAAAAATTTTCCATTGAAAGCTCTTAAGAAACGAAATAACAAAGCAAGTAAAAATATGTAAAGCACAAATGTTTTAATAAACGCAGTACGAAGTAATGAGAGAGATGTTTAGAATAAGAAATAGTTTAGTAATATAACTTTAAAAATATGCACATCCTTCACATAATACACCTTACTATTACTCTTACTATTCAAATATTTGTTTAAATACAATAAGAAAATTTTTCGCGAAAGCAAAGTGTAATTTCTATCCAAAGTTGCCTTGCGATATTTGCGAAATAATTTTTATTAATATTACATACAAGCAAAAAATTGGAACTTTGCAATTGCTCCATGGCAGTAAATAGCGGCAGTGTGGATCGCGAAATTGTAAATTGCACTCCTTTATATACATATATAAATGTATTTATTTATTCGTGAGAAACCACCTGTGAATAGCACAACGCGGGCCACTTTATCGCTTTTGAAAGGCGCTTTTCTCGTCGCTTGAACCGATCAAACAATAGTGCATGTCATGGTACCTGACGACCTTCCGCTATCCGTTTGCGGAGAGCGATCACGTAGATTCGTCGAGCCGCTCGCGTGAACCACCCCAGCGATTCCGAGCCCGGGTAGATTCGTAAGAAATCGATACGCGGCGAACCTGCCACCTGCTGGCAGCCTCGGTCCACCCTCGTGCAGGTTGCTCCAGTAGCTTCTTTGCGTTCATTTCCAGGACGCAGAGGCCAACCCCTTAAAAGTCCAGGGTTTTCCCCGGGACTTGTGGATAAAGGCCTCGAGCCGTCCACCGGCTCGATAGGATTGCCCCCTCAACCCGGCCAGCTACCTGCCTCCATTATTTGCCTAAACAACGACCAACAACGACTTTTGTTAGGAGCTTCCTATCCTTCCTATCCTATACGCGAAACGAAACGAACACGCGAATTCAAATACGTGAGAAACATACCAGAGAAAAAATTGCAGATATATTTTAAATAAAAATTTTCGTAATAAAAGTATGTTTAGTATGCGTATTCATAAACATACTTTCATATTGCGTATATTAAAGTTATGAGCAAATATTTTGTGTACAAATCGTAAGAATTAATCTCAAGCTGATTTTTATCGTATGGTAATGTCAAAGCATCAACAATGTTCAAATTATAAAAGATGAAAATTCAAAAACGATAGAAAAAAAACGAAAAAGACGGGATTTGTGCGGACCAAACTTTGGAAACTCGTAATAAGTAATAACATCATTATACGCATCGTTAAATATCCGATAAAATTATATTGTTATTTCATGTTATTGTTGTTTCGTGCCAAAAATCTAGATTTCACATTTCTGACGAATAAAATTTTTTCATATTTCAAGTCTAATATTGAACAAAAAAATGCATGTGCATTAACAAAAAGATCATAGAATCATTTCGATTTATCTTATCACTTATTAGTTCACTGAATAATATTCTTTGTGGATGACATTTGAGTCAAGCTATAAATAAAACGGCAAACCGGGACGCGAGTTCTATGAATATGACAAATAAATTTGCTAAATATATGTCATGACCCATAAAATGTATTTAGCACTGACCATCTCTTTTCTGACCCTTAAATAATAGATCAAAGTCTATAGATATGAATCAAAAGCCTATAAGTCAAAAATGTTTCCTCGTTATAAGACAAATTTTATGATCGTTGTAAGGTGTTAAATATATTTTTATAAATTAATTATCACTCGTTATCTATTTGCATATTTATTATGTTTTTATATACAACATTTTATATACATTGCTATTTGAACGTTTTTTATTAATATTATTATTTAGTATATTGTAAATTTAATAACATCTAAAAGTGATATATTTAATCATAAATATAATTATAAATTATGAAAACAAGTATATTGTGTCAATTTGAATCGTGTTCTACGTGCATTTCTGCCACATACAAGCGTACACATATGTGTGTGAATATTAAAGAATATTATTTTAATTTCTATTCTATTCGAAACGCGCGCGACTATCTCTCCCTTTGTCTTCAGTTTGCAAATGACGTTAACGAGCGTGGCGACGCGCAATAAGCGCCATCGTTAATTTCGAAGGACGGGCATCGCCGAACACTTATATCACCATATTTCCTCATTAAGATATTGTATAATTAAAGGAATTTAGTAAAAAAGATATGCACGAACATCATGGTTCTCTCGCTCTCTCTCCTATGTATGAATCGCTTTATATTTGATAAAATGTGCCGAACACTTAATCCTTCCCTTTTCATCGAGACAAAGTATGGTCGACGCGTAATATAAAGAGGACACTCCTCTCAAACTTGTTCAACTCTTTAAACCCTGAGAAGAAAGAGATTAAACGGAGAGCTTGAAAACACAGCACACAAGTGGAACGACAGTGAAACAGCGAAACCACCATCCTATTTAAAAATATAACTTTGCGTTTAATAAAAAAAAACATTTTGTCGGTAGAATTAATTTTAATCTTCAAACTGTGTCGCTGCGTCGTGTAAAGCGAATCGTGTTTTATACTTTAACATCTATATATATATATATATATATATATATATATA